ATTGCATGTATTGACCAGCAGAAGATTCCAGTTAAAGTGGTTGTAAACCCTTACATTTACCCAGTGAAGTGACTGGCCTCAGGGGATAGAGAGATGAAACAAAACCTCCTACATAAGTTGTACTTGTTTATCTGCAATATTCTATTGTCTACAGTCATTCAAAGTGCAGACTTTTTACAGCTTGTCTGAGCTTTCAAAAAGCAGGGGGCGGGGAGCTGAAATTAGAAATTGCAGAACTAAGTAGGGACTGCTGAGAGCTGACTGGAGGGAAGAGACACACCACCTTCACACAACACACAGGAACAGAGTTGAAGCTGCCAATTACAGGCTGTGTGTTGGAACTCCCTCCTGTCAAATTTTTCTCTTGGTGTCAGAAAAACTTGTCAGAAGTGATTTATGCAGATGGCAGAGAAAAGAGGCAGCAGACAGACATTAAATTTAGTGCTCTTAATTGAAACATGTATACAATATAGAAGGATATTCTTTGTCCATATTTCATGTCTGAGGTTTACAATCAATTTAAAGTCTTCTAGTACAGTTCCCGTGGGTAACACAGACTCTTCTCCCATTACTGATTAATAAATGAACACTGATATGATTGAAAATGGATTATATCATATGGACACAACTAAGTTACTTACTTTTACAATAATCACCGGTTACCAATTCTGACATTTACCAATTAACTGCAATAGCTAAACTGAAACGACTCTTTGTGCACATGGGGTGTAAGTGTGGTGAACAGAGACCAAACAGACTAAACAAATGCTACTTAGTGCTGGATCACCAGTCTGGAATTGCACTTGAAACATAAATGAAGTTGAAAAGAGTTGTGTGTATCTACACAGTAGTCATTGGCTGCACTTTATTTGATTTGGTACTTTATATGGACCTGGCACTTTATATTTTGAACTAATGTGTGTGTTTTTAGCTACTGATTGGAAGATTTACAGCACTTCACAATATATATTATTAATTTGCTTTGTATAAGAAAGTGTCATTTTTGATGTAACTTAGAGATACACATGCAATTTCTGAACTATTAACTTGCATTTTGAGCAATATGAAAATAATTTTGATGTTCTATAACTTGTTGCATGATATGGTATAGGTTAGGGATCATTGTTTTTGAGCACTGCATTTGTGTTTATAGTCTGAAGCTTGCCATACACTGCAAAGTGAAAAAAAACAAGAAGCGCACCAACCTTGCGCATTACCTCAGTAACCAAAATTTATTAGTAAAGGAATGGTACTCACAAACAGCGAATAAAAACAGGCATGTAAGTCCTCCAAGGGACTTCAGAGACAAGAGGCCAGCGCAAATCCCATCATGGGGGTAGACACTCAGTACAATCTCTTTGTCCAATGGTGGGACAGCTGTACTGAGTGTCTACCCCCATGATGGGATTCGCGCTGGCCTCTTGTCTCTGAAGTCCCTTGGAGGACTTACATGCCTGTTTTTATTCGCTGTTTGTGAGTACCATTCCTTTACTAATAAATTTTGGTTACTGAGGTAATGCGCAAGGTTGGTGCGCTTCTGGTTTTTTTCACTTTGCAGTATTGTTCGGGCTTCCCCAGCCTTGTTTTGGAGCTGCACGACCTTTCATGCTCTGGTGGTCGTTTCGTTTGGGTTTGATTTCACCTACTCGCCTCCGGCCTGGGTTCTGGAGCGCAGGAGGAATCGTATTTTGTCCACTGGCTTGCCATACACTGACAGCCTTCAGCCTTCTTTAACAAAGCAGATGAATTTGCAGTGCTGGCTATTGTATTCTGACAGCTGTCAGCCATCAAAATGCTTGAACAGTAGCTGGATCTGACTGGATACAGCTGCGGTTCACTTACAATTTTCAACCTGGCTCCTTCAGTTTTTCAATAGAAGGATGTTGGTTGGAAGGATGCAGTAGAGTCACCCACAAAGCAAACTTTTTCCAATTCATTAAAGTGGTACTAAACCCACAACAGTAAAATCAGTCTGTATATGCAGTTAAGCATGCTTGTTATACTCACTATGGAACCTAAGGGGTTAATCCTCTGCATTGTGTAAAAATGCAGTTTGATCCTGGCTTCTCTGATCCTCCCCTTCTTCCAGTGCCCATCTTTTATCTCCTGATAAGGCATATCGTGTGGAGTCACTCTGCACATGGTCAGTTTGGTGTGTATTACTAGAAAGGCTGTTTTATTTTCTTGGGAGAGTGCATGTGATCAGCACAGTGCCAATCAGCACTGTCCATACAGAGGTCAGGGGTTCTGCATCCTCCTAGAGCAGAAAAAAACCTCCTCCTACAAGCTTTAAGCAGTGCACTGCTGGACACTGATAGAAGTCACAAGACTGCTCTAACTGCTGATGAGAAAAGGTATTATGCAGGGTCCCGGGTTTAGTAACACATTAAGAACCGTCCCAAAATTCACTCAGTGTATGACCAGCTTAAATTTCTTTGCTACTTAGCGATTTACGTAACTTCTTATTGATAGCTAGTTTTAGCATGAATGCAATGATTGCACTAAGAAACATTTTCAGGCTCTGAGAGTAAAAATAGCCCATGTTGCCCTAGCCTGAACAGCAAGATACACAGCAGTATGTGGTCAATACCCAACGATTCACAGTTATGAAGAGTTACTTGCTACTTTAAAGCTTGTTATTCTTCAATGCTCCTCTATCACTGCAGAAATGAAAAAGGCATTAAAAGCATGTTAAATGCCTGTAGTAGCACAAATCATAAATCTACCTTACTACAAGTGCATTGGTGAGAGGCCCTAACCTTACCCCAACTGCTAAAGAGTCAAGACCAATAGAACTTTCAGTTTCAATTGGCTAAATACATTCCAGGTGAATAAAAACAAAAGATTTGCAATATCTTACAGTTTGTTTTCTTTCAGCCACAGTCTGCCAGAAGCTGCATAGTGGGACCCTTGCCAGCTCTAGGAAGCTGTGATCTCTTTGCAGAGCTCTTCAATCAATGAGGTACAGGAGCTTTACTGATTGCAAAGCTAGAGGTCTGCATCTGAAGGAGGCTTACTGGACCTCTGCAATGAGACCACTGCTTACATACAGAGAACAAGAATCCTTCTCTGCAGCTGCTGGCTGTGGACAGGCTTTTCTACTCAGGCTGGTTTAGAGAGAAAGCAAATACTAAGACATGAAACACTCTTTATTTGAATGCACCTCAAAAAAAATAGCTAATCTAACCTAAATAAAATAAACTCAGAAAATGCTGAACTATAATGTACCTGCACTTTGTTTTGTGAATCTCTTATTGGCCTTGCTTGTCAATTTCCAGACACTATTACTCAATCTGATACCCTGGTGATGGTGCCAAGTCCTATGATTTCAGAATTATGGCAAAGATAAGTCCATGGCATTTCTGCCTATTTAAAGTGACATTAAACTCTGGTTAAAAAAAGAAAATCCTATTTAAGTATTGTATGTTCCTAACTGAAAAAGAATACCTTCTATTTCCCTGTTAGAGGGTGCTAAGTTCATTCTCTACTAAACCTAGGGCCATAACCACCATCTTCTGCTCACTTTCAAGATTAACTAATGACTATGGTCTGTGGCAGGGGTGGGCAACTGTGGCCCTCCAGCTGTTAGTGAACTACAAGTCCCATTATGCCTCTGCCTTTGGGAGTCATGCTTTTAACTGTCAGTTTTGCAATGACTCATGGGACTTGTAATTCTACAACAGCTGGAGGGCCACAGTTGCCCACCCCTGGTCTATGGGATTTGTAATGTGCAAAGAGCAGTACACATGACTACAGCTAAAGTGCAAAGCTCAATTAAAAAACGGAAGTGCTAAGTTCATTCTCTACTAAACCTAGGGCCATAACCACCCTCTTCTGCTCACTTTCGATATGAACTAGGGACTATGGTCTATGGGATTTGTAATGTGCATAGAGCAGTACACATGACCACAGCTAACGTGCAAAGCTCATTTTAAAAAACAGAAGTTAGAAGGAAAAGGAGTGGTTCAGGAGCTCATTGAGGAATTTACGAGGAGGCAGAAAAACACAGTAAGAACCAATTTCATGAGAAATAGATTACTAGACTATTAAGTGGATTTGTATAAATTATTTTTGAAAAATAAGGATATCGTTTAGTGTCACTTTAATATTACTCTGATTTTTTTCTTTTACTAAGATAGCAATTTTATACAAAGTTAAAATAAAAAAAAAGAAGAGATTATTGTAATTGTCTAATCATTCTACAGTTCTCGAATTTTTATGTAAAGTTTTACTTACCTCCACTTCTCCAACTTCCTGACTCTTCCGATGGGCCAATAAGATAACCTTTTACATAAAACGGGGACAGAGGAAGCAAGACAAGGTGGGACAAAACTATGCTTTTAGAGCCAAGATTTACATATGAATACAGCTGTCTATATTTCTGGATTACTAATCATTTTGGCACATGGTTAGTCACTAAATACAACCTGTGCTTATGTTTTGTTATCGTAAGATGAGTGCTGCAACTGCAAGTAATGCACAAAAATGTACTCTATCCATTGCACAGGTTTTGTGTTTGCTAGGCCTCATATTAGGGCTCTCAGATGTGTAACTAGGAACCTCTGTAGTTTGTATAACCAGTCCCTGCTTGCTTTGTTCTTCCTTTTTATGAACCACTCCACTGCTGTCTATTTCAGGTCCATACCTATGATTATATGGCCCAGCTTACCCATTTCCTGTGCCAATTTTGATAAGTATTACATGTAAGAATCCAGCTCTATTGCCAATAATAAGCAGATATCACAGCTATTTATAACAATACATCTCTTGTTTCCCCATTGTGAGACTGTGGCTATCCCTCAATTCTTCTGTCCCCATGGCTCCAAGCTAGTCACCCCCAGTTACACCACACAGTTATAACATTATCCACTAACAAATAATCAAATCTGATATCAGTTCATACCTGTCATACACAAGGACATTGTCCCTAATCATCAATGCTCATATTTGAAGAGCCTGCAAAAATCCTCACGTCTGGTTCATAACAGCAAATGATGACTCTACACAAAGACATTAAAGAGTGGGAATTCAGCCTGGTTAGGCTGTAGTATATCAACCATAAAACAGACTGTTCCTGACAAGCCTTCATATAGACTGCAGATGCTTTCCACAGTGCATGATCCAGCTCTGAACTCATCCGAGGACAGAAACTCTGCAAACCTAAAGAAGACAAGAACATACAAACAGATAATCTAAAGAATGCATAAAAGAGATTTTTGTAATTACAAAGTACATAATGAAAATATGCAGAAAAATATACATACACAAATCATATAATAACATTTAAAAACTGTCACAAGTTTAGTGGCTTCCAAAAAAAAACAACATTCATAATTTAAAAAAAAATAAAAAGTACAGCGAGGAAGCACAAAAGTGCCATAGCCCAACAAGTTTTCGTGTGAATGTCACACTTTAGCAGGGATCTTGTGGTATCTGTTTGTGGTTCAATAGCTTTATTAATGAGAGTAATCTGACTATAGCATCCGTTTACTAACTGAACATTTAGGAGTCTATTTATGAAAAATCTGCGCAGCATTCATACAGCCACCACGAAAAATCCTTGTAATGTTCTGTGCATTTCTTATGACCGTCAGCTCCAACTAGTGGCCATAATGGTATATTTTCCTAATTGCAGCATTGCAGGAAAATGCCATAAGGGCCCATCTTAGATTATGCAGCAATCAGCAGCAACATCTCTTGAAGGGCAAACCCCAGCCAAACAGTGACGAAAATAGAGACCTGTAAGGAAATATGTCTTATTTAACTGGCATCCATGTGTATAATGCCTCCATTTCTAGATGTGTGAACAGTTAGTTTCGATTTTGAGTTTTGTTTGTAACTTCTTAGTTTCTATTCTCAGTAAACAGAACAGAACCACCTTATATGGTATTCATCAACCATTTGTTTTTTCTGTTTTACAAGTAATGTGGAATGTTCCATTGGTCATCCTAAAATTAAGCAACGCCTATTGAGATCTGTATAATACTGCTTGCACGCATTAAACTTTCAGAGATTTCGCATTTACACTTCGGTGTCTGGAGCTTTATTTTTCCCGGGCCTGATGGTGAAAATAATCGAGGATGGTTGGGCTACGGACAGGAATTGATCTTTTCAAGACCTACTGGTAGAGAGACTCTAGAAATCATTTTAAGCTGATTCAGATAAGTCTACATAGGTTTTTGATGTTTCTTTTAAGAAACAAAGGATTTTTTTTCCCCCAGAGTTGGGCTCTAATTAATATTATTCCTTACCCTTTGCTAAAGTTATTGGCCTTTTGTATACCCTTTTCAGGGCCACAGTTTTTATTTATGGGATAAGGATCAAGTATGGTGTGTTAAAAAAAACCTTGCTATATGTTCCATGGACAAAGCACCCAATACGTGTCTGTGTAGGTATGAAATTGTATGCACTGTTTTTGAACAACTATATTTAAAATGACAGTAAACAGTACACTCTCCAAAAATAATCCATGCACATCCTCTACCTAATGGCCCTTTAATCCGTTTTTATGAACTAATTTCTTACTGTGTTCTTCTGTTTCCTTGTAACACCCTCCGTGAGCTTCTAAACTTCCCCTTTTCCCCTTATTTCCACTTGTTTGGAACAAGCAATGCGTGTTAGTTGTGGTCATGTGCACTGCTCTATGCACATTACAAATCCCATGGGTTAGGGGCTATGGCCAGTCCCTAGCCCATCCCAGCAGTGAGCAATAGAGGGTGACTACATTCCTACATACAGTAGGATCATGGAGAACAAACGTAGACACACTCAAACAGGAAGTCAGATCACAGCAGCAAAGAAAATTAATTTGAAGATTTTGAGGCTGAGAGCAATAAAAGGTACTTTTTTTGAGTTTAAAATTTATACTTTGAATAGAAGTTTTTTTTTAAGCAAAGTTTAGTGTCACTTTAAATAGTGACATATAATAAAAGGTGTATGCATTCAGATGCCTGCCTTAACTGTTATGACTTGGTTAACCACATATCACTGGCTGTGATCATCAGTACTAAAACTACCAATCTCTGAGATTGGAAAGTACCTATATGCTCTGAGATTAAAATGAAATACTGCAACCCCATTTTCATTGGTTACAATTTATTTAACATAAACATGAGTAACTATCTATTGAAATCTTCCGGATAAAGAACATCCCAAATGACTATATTGGAAGTACACCCTAGATACCTACAGACAGTACTTTTATGGGGAATCTACAGCTGTATGTGCAATAACAGATGACCATCTTACAACAGAAGTCAACTGATGACCCTAAAAACATAATACATATGGAAAAAAAGTGCACAGTGTAAGTACAGTAAAACGTTTAATCACAGGTCATCAGTTAAAACATACCACATGTAAAAACCTACCATGGCACTGAGGGCATATAGACATTGAGTATCCAAGAAGCTTCAGCCACTTATTGGTCTTGAGCTGAGTTGTATGGAAACCATGCAGAATAAATATATGAATGTATAGCATGTATGAAGTTGACTGAAATCATTTGCAAGTGAGCAACGTTCCTAGCTTACTCTAAGACTGATAAGCCACTGTAGGCTCAGAATACTCATTCATTTTATATCCTCAGACCCCTTTGGATCACAACAAAAATCTTGATTAGTGTTTTAGGAGCTATTGGTACATTCATATTTACAATTACTGTTAAAGTGTTACTAAACCCACAACAGTAAAATCAGTCTGTTTATGCAGTTAAGCATGCTTGTTATACTCTCTGTGGAACCTAAGGGGTAATCCTCTGCGCTGTGTAAAAATGTTGTTTGATCCTTTCTTCTCTGATCCTCCCCTTCTTTCAGTGCCCCCCTCATATCTCCTGATAAGACATAGCATGTGGAGTCACTCTGCACATGCTCAGTTTGGTGTGTATTGCTAGAGAGTGTTTTTTTTTCTTGGGAGAGTGCATGTGATCAGCACAGGACCAATTAGCACTGCCCAGACAGAGGTCAGGGGTTTTGTATCCTAGAGCAGAAAGAAAACTCCTCCTACAAGCTTTAACCAGTGTTCTGTTGAAGTCACAAGACAGCTCTAACTGCTGATGAGAAAAGGTATTTAGCAGTTTATATTTACTAAAATAATTGCATTTCCATGTTGTGTGTACTGTGGGAGACCAGATATAGTGAATGCAGGGTGCTGGATTTAGTAACACTTTCAGGCTGCTTGTTGGTCATCATCTTTGCCATTCCAATATACTTATAGGACTAGAACTTTATGCTCATCCTCATGCACATATATTTTCCAAGGCTGGTCTAGGTTGTATATAAAGAAAGGATTATTTAGCATGTTATTAGATTGAACTTTTGTTACTGATGGGGGCGCCACAGTATTTAAAAACAAATTTATGTTTTATTTGATTCCCAGTAATTACAAATGTAATTGTATTTACACTGCAGGCCCACAAAACTATCAGTAGTGCATCATTAAAAGAAGGATGCGATATTTATTGTAGAGCTCCAAATAAACAATGAATTACAATGCATGTTCCTGTGGAATGAGGCATGTGCATCAGAAACAGGGAGATCCCTGTCTTTGACATATCACATGAATGTCAAAATATGTGTGCCAAATAACTGAAAACATTGCACATATTTTATGTGCAAAGAATAAGCATATTGTTGCACCAAGCAGTAGGTGGAGCAGGACCCCTATGGCAAAGATGTATAACGGGAAGTATATCTAAATTGTTACTAGTTAATTAAGAATGATTCTGTTTAGTATATTTTTAAATGTATGTTTGATAATTATTAATTGAAATTTGGGCTTCTATTTGATTACTTTGAATGGTAATAGCATGATAATAGCGTTTCGCATACATCCTTCTTATTTGATATTACACTGACAATTGCAACATTGATTTTTCTGACATTTGCTGTCAAAATTATTTGAAAAAAAAAAAATTTGAAAAAAAAGTTCTAAAATTCTATGCTTTACTTTAGTTTCAGAAGTCAGATGCTTTTTGCATGATACATCATAGACACCTGAGGTATGCCTACTAGGGCTGCACCGATACCATTTTTTTTAACACCAAGTACAAGTACCAATACTTTTTTTTAAGCACTCACCAATACTAATTACCAATACCTATTGCCTAGGAAGAGTAGGTAGAGAGGTGGTTAGGTGGGGCTGGGGAGAGGTCCAAAGGGGAGTAGGGGTAAGTGAGGCCAGGGTAGCTGAGGGTAGGTTGGTATAATAGTAATAATACTAATATTTAAGTGAATAAATATATAAATAAATAAATTATTATTTAACAAATTAATAAATGCAAAAATTATATCCAATGACCAGTCCTTCTAGTGTATATTCCTTAAAGTACAGATGTTTTGAACTGAGATAATATGTAGTCTGTGCATAAAGGAAGCCTAAAATACCGCTCTGTATACCGTGCCAAGCTTGTGTGTATCACACAAACATGGGAAACACTGAGCAAAGGAGAAAGCTAAACAAAGTTCCAGCCAATAGGAGTGATTAACTTAATTTTCACATGGAATTAAGGTTGTCCACTCACATGTCCAGGAGTGTGGAGAGGATCCCGGATGGATGGCTCAACAACAAGCTCCCGGTCCAGGGTAAGGAAAGGAGATGTAACAGTCAGGAAAAAAACAGAGCAGCAGCTAGAGGAGAGCTGCCCGCAACCACTGTTGACAACCAGAAAGCTGCTGGACCATGCAGGATGAGAGACCCGCTAGGAGAACCCTGTGCAGCTGGTGGGAGGGTAGGAGGAGGAGGGGAAGGCACCCGGCAAAGGTGACAACTGGTGGGAGGGGTGGAGAAGGAGGGGAACGCACCCAGCACAAGTAACAGGGGAAGGGGAATCCTGGTGACAGTTGAAATGTCAATGGTTGTTAAGGACACAGTGGCCCTGCTCCTTAACAACCAATAATTACCAGAATTCATTTGTTTACATTTCAGCTGTCAGTGGGGGAATCCCACTGACAGCTGAAAAAAACAGAGCCTGAAGGTATCGGTTTTTAGTATCGGACCATTTGCATGAGTACCAATACTCGTGCAAATGCTTAGTATCAGCACCGATACCGGTATCCGGTATTGGTATGGGTGCAACTCTAGTGCATATGCAACTTCACCCTATAAACCGTGATCATTTTTTTTTGTGACAATTTTGCACATACAGTTGTGTCCAAAATTATTCAACCCCCACTGAAATTGAGTGTTTTGGCCAGTTTGACATTGCTTTTGATCATTCAGTCATCTTGCTTACATTTACATTAAAGAGGCACTTGTAGGTCAGACAAATATAACATAACAGTTATAATGAAATAACCACAAATGTCTTTTCTGTGCTCACAGCATTATCAGTTTTATTCAACCCCCAAGTGACATTCAATCTTAGTACTTAGTACAGCATCCTTTTACAGTTATAACAGCTTTTAAACGTGAAGCATAGCTTGACACAAGTGTCTTGCAGCGATCTACGGGTATCTTCGCCCATTCTTCATGGGCAAAGGCCTCCAGTTCAGTCACATTCTTAGGCTTGCGCACTGCAACTGCTTTCTTTAAGTCCCACCAGAGGTTCTCAATCGGATTTAAGTCTGGTGACTGCGATGGCCACTCCAAAATGTTCCAGCCTTTCCTCTGCAACCATGCTCTAGTGGACTTGGAGGTATGCTTGGGATCATTGTCCTGTTGAAAGGTCCAACTCTCCCAAGCCTCAGGTGTGTGACGGACTGCATCACGTTTCCATCCAATATCTCCTGGTACTGAAGAGAATTCATGGTACCTTGCACACGCTGAAGCTTCCCTGTACCTGCAGAAGCAAAACAGCCCCAAAGCATGATTGACCCTCCACCATGCTTCACAGTAGGCAAGGTGTTCTTTTCATCATAGGCCTTGTTCTTCCTCCTCCAAACATAGCGTTGATCCATGGGCCCAAACAGTTCTAATTTTGTTTCATCAGTCCACAGAACACTATCCCACAACTTTTGTGGTTTGTCCACATGGCTTTTGGCATACTGCAGTCGACTCTTCTTATTCTTTGGAGACAGCAAGGGGGTACGCCTGGGAGTTCTGGCACGGAGGCCTTCATTACGCAGTGTGCGTCTTATTGTCTGGGCTGAAACTTCTGTACCCACATCTGACAAATCTTTTCTCAGTTCCTCAGCAGTCACACGGGGACTTCTCTCCACTCTACGCTTCAGGTAGCGCACAGCAGTCGAAGTCAGCATCTTCTTTCTGCCACGACCAGGTAGCGTTTCAACAGTGCCCTTTGCCTTGAATTTGCGAATGATGCTTCCTAAGGTGTCTCTTGGTATGTTTAACATCTTTGCAATCTTCTTATAGCCATTGCCCTTCCTGTGAAGAGAAATCACCTCTTCTCTTGTCTTCCTGGACCATTCTCTTGCCTTCACCATGTTTGTAACCACACCAGTAAATGTCTAGAAGGAGCTGAGTATCACAGTCATTTTAAAGCTGCCTAATTGGTGCTTATTATGCTTGATTGCTGCTCGGTGACATCCACAGGTGTTTTCAATACCTGATGGAAAGCACCTGTATGAACCTCTGTTCTTCAGAGTGGTAGTCTTTAAGGGGTTGAATAATTGTGGCAATGAAGAAACCACATAAGAACCATTTACTACTGTATTACATAAACAATTGATGTCATTTTAGTTGCATTTGGGTAGTTACAACGTCCTTGTAGGATTTGATTCTGAATACAATTCCAAATGTACACTATAGTCCCTAAACCCCTTTACAGCATTGGGGGTTGAATAATTTTGGACACAACTGTAATGTTCCCATTGCAATTTCTCACTCTGGGCCTCCGATCGTTTATTGGGCCTTGAGTGTTTTCCCAGATCTCACATTCCTACACTTTTAAGTGGGTACCACAGTGGTCATATAGGACTTTATTTTTAAATTGTGTGTATAACTGTGTGTGTGTGTGTATATATATGATTGATGACACTAACCTCTGCGCTCTGTATATATACTTGGAGTTGCCAGTAAGTCTATAAAGCAACAGAAACACATAGGCGCTGCCTGCAACTCCATGACAAATACCAGGTCCTTTCTTGAGAAGACCTTTCTGCCAGGTCAGCTCTCCACAACGAATGCACGTATCCAGGTAGCATGGCTTTTTTGAGAGTAAATATGCTTTTGCAAAAAGATAAGCAATACCTAAAAAACAGATATGAATTAGTTGCATTAAAAAAGCATGGACTCTAAACAACAAATTAAAATGTTAACCTACTCAAAACTCAGAACCAGGGGCAGACTGACAACTCATGGGGCCCCTGGGCAATAGGGGATCATGGGGCCCCTGTGTCCTTGCCCAAACTCAAAAAAGCCTATGAAAAAGGTACCAGGGGCATCTCATGGGGTGCCCTACTGACCCCGGGCCCTCGGGCAGTGCCCGAGTTTCCAAATGGTCAGTCCGCCCCAGCTCAGAACACCACCATATCCTTACAGCTTTGGTATTTGAATTTATCATGAAATTACCATATAACAATTACTATTACGTCACAAACAAACAAACGTTAGAGACATGCCTACAAGAGCCTACAATCACCTGACAGTTTCCATAAAGACTTGAAACCTTGTCTTCATCCTATTTTGTAAGGGCACAACCTAACCCGATTATATGTAAGAGTGCTGTACATTCACCAAGATTACCATTTGTTCCTGAGAAGCATCCCACAGATAGTAGGTGATACAGTTCTGGGCTGAAGCCAGATACATGCTGTAGAGTTGATTTACTAAAACTGGAGAGTGTGCATGGTAGCCAATCAGCTTCTAACTTCAGCTTGTACAATTAAGCTTTCACAAAAAAAATTGGAAGCTGATTGGTTACTATGTAGATCTGCACCAGATTTTGCACTCTTCAGTTTTAGTAACTCTACACAAGTATGTCATAATCATGGAGAGAACATGGAGAGCCAAGATCTGAAAAGAAAGATCTTTCACTATCTAAGAAGTCAATAGTTGGCTGAATCTGGTATAACCCCACAGCTAAGTAATTAATCGTGCATCTTTAGGTAATGCTACTTGAAGCTGGTGAAGGTCAAGTTGTGCTGGCATCTTTTCTTATAATCTCTTTCCTAGTAATAACATTGATAATAAATCCCATTTATGCCAGTCGGGTGAGCAAATTGCCAGCTGGGTCACAACTCTAGGGCATGGAGATGGACTTGCAACCTCTTCTATGATGTTCCTAAAGCTAGATATAATGTTTGCATAATATTTAACAAAATACTATGTTAACAGCTCCTGACAGTGGCATCTGCTTCCTGCCTCCTGAAGACACACTGAAGTTCAACAGCAACCTGGCGGGATTACACAGAGAGACGTGGTGGAGTCCATCGCAGCGGGTATCTCCCCATGCTATGCAGAGATCATCGGCTCCACTATCCTAGTGATCTTTGGCTCCACTGTTCCTGCACTCTGCTCGTATCCCGGATGCTGATTGTGGGAGTTTTTATATATAAGTGCTTTGCATTAAAGTCTTCTTGATTTTATCCACGCAGATCTGGCGCCCTGCTGTGTTCTTTTCAACAGCAACCTGCACTAGGTAGATTACATCATCTTATTCTCATGCATCTTGTGAGTCGCCAATTGTGATTGTTAATCGCTTCCCATCCATCGATGTATGTTGCCAGATTGGAAGGGTAATATCTCGGTCATTGTTGCAGATGTAGCGATGATCAAGATAGATATACTGCACTTAGTTGGTTCCCTCTGCTGTTTCCTTTATGGAGTTAGGTTCCAGTATTTTTCCTACTTAAAAGAGAAGTTGAGAGTTTTTTCTTTTTTGTAGAAATGATTCTTTTTTAGGTGGGTGCAGCATAGGTCCAATCCTGCATCTGCACAACCCCCCCCCCCCCCCCCCCGTGTGCTCTAAGACTGAGAACTAAGTGATCAAAGACCACTGATCGCCCAGTTCTCAGTGTACTGTGAGCAGAGAGCTGGTGACTGTTAGTCACCGGTCTACGCTCTGCCCCAGCCGCCCTCACTGGAGAACCGGGCTGTGGAGGGGGTGGGAACGGCTGACTCAGGCTCTCAACAGATCACTGAGAGGCTGAACCAGGTGCTGGTCCATGGATCTGGGTGGATCCCAAATTTAAAGTCGGGAACTTTCCTCAGTCTGGTTCGGCTGAGTGAGCTGTCGGCTGAAAAGAAGTACAGCCAAAACAAGCTTTGGCTGTACTTCTCCTTTAAAGTCCGTCTAAAATTATGTGTCTGTCTAAGTCTACTCTGCTGCATGATTTCACTGAAGAACTAACAGTACTGTCACTCTGTTAAATGAAATGTAATTGAGAGCAGAATCAATAGCTAATACAATTATATGTTACAGGCAGGGCTCAGAAAAACATTAGATTTTTGCCATACAGCAGCACTGTGGTATGGTGGCTAGCCCTTCTTTCTAGCAGCACTATGGTCCTCGGTTTGAACTCCAGCCAGGATACTACCTGCGTGAAGTTTGCATGTTATACCTGTGATTATGTGGGTTTCCCTCCCCCACTCCAAAAACACACTGGCCCTAGTACATAGAAATAGGAACCTTAGACTGTATGCTCCTTGAGGGAAGGGACTGGTGTGAAAGTACAATATGTAAATTGTTGATGCTATATAACTAATAAATAATAGTTCCACTTTAAAAAATAATCACAGTCTCATATAAAGAAGTACTATATATGAAATATGTATAAAAGAATAATGAGTAGCTGACCAGGGGCTCCATGACACCAGTGAACAAGCTCATTTTCACGTTCTATGACTTCCCCCAATTCTGGTGGCCAGTTGCAGTTTTGTTCCTGATTCACAAGAAAATCCACACTTTCCCAAACAAGGTCTCGGTCAGCTGGCTGGAGGTAGTCCTGATAGGACAATAGCATTTGCAGTATGGAGGAAAGACCATGTGCTGCTCCTGAAATATCAGAAATTAAAGTGCTTAAAGTGTTGTTAGTAATTCATAATGTATACATGTCATCTTCAATACTGCTTCAATACCCATAATACCTTTATTTAATATGTTCCTAAAGTATTCCCACTTTTCCTCAGTGTTCAATGTTTCTAAGATTTGGTCCCATTTAATATCCTGTAGTATTGAGCATAGTTTAGAAAAGTTGGCTCTTTTGAAGTTCAGTGTTTTTGTACTACCCTTGTACCTCCTTATCTTATCATTTATACTGAATGTAATTAGCCTAGTTGTTCCCCAACTTATCCTGTATCTCCACATCTGCGACAAGATCTGTGTTGTTTGTAATTAACAGATCTAGCAATGCATTCTTTCTTGATAAGGAATCCACCAAGTTGTCCTGTATGTCATTTAAAAGATGACAGGTCTTATATGAGTGAGCTGTTCCCTCTGCCCAGTCAATATCTGGATAGTTGAAGTCCCCCATAATGATGAGATTGCATTGCCTTGCCCCCATTTCTACCTGTGACAGGAGATCCAACTCCTCTTCACCCTTCAGGTTGTGAACCTGTAGCACATCCCCATTATTGTTTTCCCACATGTCTCTTCCCTTTAGAGTTTCACCCACAGGGATTCCACCTCACCCTGCACCCCATTTGCAATGTCATCCCTCATGTTTACTAGCAAATCATTTTTGATCTACAGGCAAACCCCTCCTCCTCTTCTACCCTCCCTGTCCCTCCGATACAAGGAATAGATGCTAGACAGATGCTAACCAATCATGTGAGCTATCAAATCAAGTTTCTGATATTCCTACAAAGTCAAAATCCTCCTCATGTATTAGCAGTTCCAGTTCCTCCATTTTGTTAGCTAAACTTCTAGCTTTTGTGTACATGCCTCTTAATTTTGTAGCAGTGCATATTATTTCCTTCTTAGTATTTATGTGGCTATGATTGTGTATTATGGTTTATGTATTATGGTTATAGCACCCTCTGATCTTTGTTTGTTGATGGCTATTGCTTCCTCTAATCCCTGCCCCCCCCTGCCACCTAGTTTAAAAGCCCCTCCAACTTTTTGGCCATCCTCTCCCCCAACACAGCTGCACCCTCCCCAATAAGATGAAGTCTGTCCTTACTATAGAGCCGGTATCCGACTGAAAAGTCTGCTCTGTTCTCCAGGAACCAGAAACCCTCTTTCCTGCACCAATTCCTCAGCCACTTGTTAAGTTATCTTAGCTCCTGCTTCCTATTCAATACCCCATTTGCTCCCACTACAGGTACATGAATACCGCAGCCTTTAACCTCCTCCTGACCATGTAACACATATATGCAGAGACAGGAAAAGTTGCCTTAATGTCCAGTCTCCGACAGCTCTTACTTGGAGCTTATGAGCAGGAGACAGCAGAATCTGCAACCAATCATGTGAATGCTATGAGAATCAATCATCAAAGCCCACTGAAAGGGCTGCCTGAGGAAGCAGCAAGAAGGGGTTAGGGGAAGCCTAAAACGTTTACTGTACTTTATAGATATACACATTTAGCAAAGCTAAAACGTTTTAAAGTATCTTCATGTTTTAAAAACCTTGTTTATCTTTTAAATGAGCAATTTGCATTCTCTAAGCATGTAAAACACCCACAAGCCAGAACCATCCTGTCTTTGCTAGGCTATACAAGACATGATAAAGTTAAAAGCATCATTTTATTTATGGCAAGAAAAGGTACCTTTTTGTTCTCAAAAATATGATGTTATTTAGTATTGCTGATGGGTATCTACAAGGTCACATTCCGTTGCAACTATTAGAATATTTTGCTTTTGTGGGCCTCTCTAGCATAGGCTGCAAAGGGAATATTTTTTCAACGTTTACTGATGGGGCATTCTGATACCTGCAGATTAGTCCTAAAATTTATTTTTGCACAAATGTAAAATCTGTATAATCACTACATCTCTACAGTACATGCAGATTTCACACATTTTGCCTCTTAACAATGCTGAAAATTCTAAAACTGATCTGTTAATCCAAAAAGAAATGCAGTGATCTCCCACCTTCCTGACAACAGTACCTCTGCTGCAAGCAGTGTTGTCTATCCTGCCCAAATTCTCCTGCGTTGGTTTACAAAACACCTCACTCTTGTGCTACAGAGATAAAGAGAGAGGGAGGTGATCTGTAGTTTAGAAGGGAGAATTTAGGTACAGCAGACAATGCTGATAAGGATTTCAGTGCAGTTCAAACAGCAATTTAGAAGTGCACTGCATTTCTAACAAAATTAACAGAAATACAGATATTTTTCTATACTTGCTGTGTTTTTAAAGAGACGAACCTGGGGAAATGTGAATGTATTGCAGATATGTATTGCATTCATTTTATATTTTAGAATGACGTACTCTTAAAATTGAAATTAAAGGCAGATCCTGCTCTTCTTGGGTTCCCCGCTGGCGCTCCTGACCCCTCCCTCCTGTATAGTGCTCTCATAACAAGTTGCTTGCTCCCGAGCCGCTGCTCTGTGTGTACTTTCACACACGGAGCTCAGCTCAGCCCCACCCTCACTCTCTCCTCATTGGCTCACTGGCTGTGATTGACAGCAGCAGGAGCCAAGCAGGAGCCAATGGCTACTGCTACTGTCTCAGCCAGTTTGGAGGGAGAGACCCGGAAGAGCTGAGGCTCTCGTGCACATCGTTGGATTGAGATGGGGCTCAGGTAAATTTTAGGGGGGCTGGAGGGGCTGCTGCACACAGAAGGTTTTTCGCCTTCATGTATAGAATGCATGAAAGTAAAAAAACGTTGAGCCTTTACAACCACTTTAAATGCATTTTCCCCATTTTTATCTTTATTTATATAACCCCCTTGAACCACATATTTTTAGATAGATTGTTCACAAATGGGTAAATGTAAAGTGATCATCAGCTACCATCAGCTACCACTTACTGGCAGAAGAAATTGGAGATCACTGGAGTAGTGATTTCCAGCTTCTCGGTTCAGGTATGGTATATACATATTTGCATTGGTCCAAAAGCTGGACAAATGTAACTGTGTATAAAATATCCATACCTGGAATTCTTTTTTTAATATGTATGAAACCCATTAAAGAAGGCAAGATGAATTCAATTGAAAATGTACATTCTATTATGTTGGGCATGGTACCATTTTTCTAAACAAGCCAACTGCCAGCAGGTGTGCATAAGAATGAAAACAAAGCATGTGTGAATTTGGATGTATTACTGTTTGATCATATCAGATTGTGTGCTACATTGTGCCACTAAACACACATACAAAGTAGATATTTGTTGCTTATGATGGCTTACATTGCCTTGTACATGAAAGTATTCATCCAGATAGAGCACAAGAGAAATAGATATATAGAGTGCTGCCTTTTGTTTTCTCACCCAAGTATTCAGTTCCATAGTATGAGTACATCAAAGGGAAGGGCTTCCTTTTTTTACTTGAGTACTGTTTGCCAGATTCCAAGATAGCGTGACATATTGACCTGATCTGAGCGGGCTTTAAAACCTGTTGGAAAAAAACATCGTCCTTTACTCAGAGCAGAAACACATTTCTTATTGTAAGGATATAATACCCATGAGCTGCCACAAATAAATGATAAGCTGCTGCAAGCATCTAAATGTGTTCCCACATCAATAAAACTCACCAAGAATAGTGCTGCACTGCCCCCTAGTGACCCAAAAAAATACACTAATAATAAATAAACACCCTCCTGAGCATCAAACCCAATGTGTAATAGAATAAATCTGTGAAACAAGTAAAGTCAATATTAAATTAATAATAAAAAAAAACTGGTTGTGCCACTAAATTAAATTATAAGTGAAATATATCTAAAAAATCCATCAAAATCAAGTAGCAATAAACACCTGGCTGAGCTGAAGAAAAATGTCTAAAAAACAACAAATACAGTAAAATATGTGAAACGTATATCAGAAATAAAATACAATCACAAAAGCAGTAAGCACCTGGCCGAGCTGTAATAAACACCTGGCTGACCTAAAGCATAAAGTGTGAAAATCAAAAACAGTATTAAATAATTGTAAAACAAATGCCAGCCCCCCCCCCCCCCCCCAGTGGAATAGATATGTGATGACGCAAGAAAATGTTCAACTGGGCTAGATATTCACAAAAAGTGTGTGTTAAAAAAAAACATAAGCAGTTCTACTCAATATAGAGAACAAAGATACATGGTGAATGATAGATAACACTTCATAAAGTGCAAAATGTAGTCCAAAAGTGATATAATAGTCTCTTTCTTCCAATATTTAAAGTAATGCACCAGAGAATTCAACAGGTGTGCAAATCTATGGTGCTCCTCCACCTTCAGGCATGCCTGCTCACCCTAACTTATATTATTTATGTTATATCACTTTTGGACTGCATTTTGCACTTTATTGAGTGTTATCTATCATTCACCATTTATCTGTTTTTTGTATATTCAGTAGACCTGCTTATTTTTTTTTTTAATACACACTTTTTGTGAATATCTAGACCAGTTGAACATTTACTCGATTTGTCACATATTTATTCCACTGTGGGGCTGATTTCTCAGCCAGGCATTTGTTTTACAATAATTTAATACTGTTGTTGTTGATTTTCACACTTTATGCTTTAGGTCAGCCGGGTGTTAATTATAGGCTGGCCAGGTGTTTATTGCTACTAGATTTTGGTTTATTTTTTAAATATGTTTCACTTATCATTTGGATTTAGTGGCTCAGCCAGTTTTTTCTTATTTACTATTTGTTTCACAGATTTATTCTATTACACATTAGGTTTGATGCTCAGGAGGGTGTTTATTTATTATTAGTATATTCTTTGGGTCACTAGGGGGCAGCGCAGCACTATTCTTGGGGACATTTCTTGTTATACTCACATTTATTTCTTATTGTGGCTACACATCAGTGTAAATGTATTTCCCAAAGTGGCTACATATTAGTGTAAACCAATGGAATGGCTCTAACCAATTAACTAAGTTTCATGTAAATTTATTGTATTATATTAGTATTACCTAAAACAAAACTCCAGCCCAAAAAAATAAAATAGATGCAAATGAAAAGCCCATTCAAAAATAAAGTTAAAAAGCAGCAGCTGTAATAATTTCTCCTGTAGTAGTTTTTTTTCCGCCATAAGGTACCCTTAGTCTGATGGCCATCATCGTTCAAGCTATCTCCTGAGAGCCCAGAATGTCTTCAATCCACCGCAGCCTGTGACTGCACAGTGAAAGGAGAAGCAGTACAGTGATGAGCTCATATCTCTGTCACTCTGTTTTCTTCTCTTACCACCTTATCCCTTCTTGCTGATTCTTCCTCACATATCCCAGCCCTGCACGAGGCTGATACCAGATCACATTCAGGTAATTATACTACTTGCATATCAAAAAATACATTAAGGGCTGGTTCACACCAGAACACAGTGCGGGAAAGGTACCTTCCATGCATGTTTCCCACACCAAGCTCAAAAAAGCACTGCCTTTGTGATCTGCTGTGGTTGACAATGTAATGTTAATGGCACCCCAAACGTAGACTGCAAACACAGTGCATTTGTGGGCAAAAGATCTCATAGTACCACAGTACCATGGTGCAGCACAATTTTGAAAAACTGTGCATGCACTACTTTTTCTGCATTCTGGCGCAATTTGCAGCTCATTGAAATTAATAGGCTACAAAATCACACCTCACCTGAACAAGCAGAGTGTGGATTGTGTCCCTGTGCAAGTAAGGTGTGAACTGACCCTAAATGCACTTTATGGTCACAGCATACACTTTCATTTTATAACATCAGCCTTGTAACAACAATACAAGCAAAAGTTATTTTTGACAATCCAATATAAGCTCCCTCTTTCATTTCATTCACTAAGCTCTAGAGCTTAGTGAATGAAATGACGCTCTGCTGACCTTCATCTTCCAAGTTAAGCAAAATTTCACCGCATTTGCCAAGCTCTAAGGAACGTTCTCGTGCAAAATAAACAGCCGATTTGGTTTTAGTAAATCAACTCCTAATTCTAACCATTTGCCGCCCAACCAATAGCCATTTGGTGGCCGCAAAAATGCACTAGCTTGCCGGGTGGACGACATTTAGCGTCCTCCCGCACATGCGCAGTTTTTGCGTTTGCAGAGCTGTGCAGCGGTGCGATCTGTCACCGGCCGTGTACCTCGGACACGGCCGATGACAGATCTGAGTATCGGCCCCGTTGCCCGTACCATGTGACCTGCTGTGACCAATCACAGCAGGTCACATGACAGTTGTATACAATGGATGGCTTCATTCATGCCATCCATTGTATACTAGTGTCTAGCTGTGAATGGTCACAGCGATCACATGCACATGTCATGTGATTAGCTGTGGCCAAATCAAAACTAAAAAAAAAAAAAAAAAAAAAAAAAAAAACCCTGAATGAATCGATGTCATTCAGGTAAATGCTTGCTTATAGCAAAGTAATTCTTTGCTATAAGCAAATTGTGTAAAAAAACAAATACTGATCACTTCCCCAAAGTAGTACAATGTTACTATGGTAACATTGTACTACTTTGGTCATAGTAAAATATGAAAAAAATCTTTAAAAAAATACAAACAAAAGTAATAAAAAATTAAAAATAATAAAAAAATATATATATTTTTTTTTTCATGCTGTCACCAGTCAGTGTCCCTGATCACCGCCATGCCAGTTATATGATGATGCTGTACTGCACTGGTGACAGTATGTAAAAAAAAAAATATTGAAAAAATATTTTTTAATTTTTCATTTTCTGAAAACTTATGACAAAAAATACAACTTCAAAAAACTCGCCATTCCTCTTATGAAGTACGTTGAACTGTCTACTTTACAAAAAGGGGTCATTTGGGGGATATCTGTACTGTTCTGATATTCTTGGACCTCAAGAAATTAGATAGGCTGTCAGTACTTCAGGATTGATCAATATTCAGATCTATACCATAGTTTGTGAACTCTATAACTTTCCTACAAACTAAAAAATACATCCTAATTTGGGATATTTTCACCAAAGACATGTAGTAGAATACATCTTGGCCTAAATTTATGAAGAACAATTATTTATTCGTAAACTTTTATAACAGAAACAAAGAAAAACGTTTTTTTTTTTCCAAAATTTTTGGTCTTTTTTTGTTAATTTCACCCGGCGGTGAATAAATACCATCAAAAGAAAGCTCTAATTGTGTGAAGAAAATGATAACATTTTAGTTTGGGTACAATGGTGTATGACTGCGCAATTGTCATTCAAAGTGTGAGAGTGCTGAAACCTGAAAAATGGCCTGGGCAGGAAGGTATAAAATTGCCCGGTATTGAATTGGTTAAAATATAACTAAAGGCAAAACTTTTTTTTAGTTTTGGATAAAGTGGAGAAGGATTAGAACTTCTATCGGGTTTTTATTGCTGTCTGTGCCCCCATTAGGGAGATTCACCCTCTCTATTTGTCCTGTTTACTGTTATCATCAAAAGTGAGAGTAAAAGAAAATCACAAATTTTGGGTTGACATCATAACAGTAATAGAAGGGAAATCATCCAATGGGGACATTAGTTCTGGTGACCCTCGTGACACCCCAGAATTCCCTCTTGTAACAAGCGTGCACACAGTGAAGGACGCAGCCTCCATTTTGTTAAGAATCTCCATTTTCTCCCCTCATTCTTCCCCTCTCCCTCTCTGAGAGGCACAGTGATATATGGCAGTGTGTGTGTGTGTGTTAAAAGTGTCACAGGCAGAGCAAAGCAGGGAACCCCAGAGCTATAAAACATTTCTGAGTGAAATGCTGGGTTGTCTACCAGAGCTGTACAATTTAGCACCTTGTAAAAAGATAACGCAGCCTTCCCAGGAGTTCAAAAAACATTCCAAGGAAGCACACCAGATAACTTTTTTAAAAATCCATTTTTCCCCTATGTCTCATATCTTGGAATATGAGAGACATAAAAACCAGGCATATCGTCAGATTGGCCAAGAGGAGATGAACAATTTGATGGGTCACTCGTCTTGTCTCGAATACATAGGAAAGCTGAAAAGTAGATCTCGTGAACCGTTCAGTGTATAATATCATATTTCATATCTAATCAATCCTCAGACGTGTCTGCATATTAATCTACCCGCGGGTGGAGTATCACTTGTGCATAGGAAAAGTTATGAGCCAAAATATGAACTAGACGAGATTTTGGCTCTAGTTTAGGTCTACGCCCAGACCTCCACGCCCTAAACGGGGTATTGGTCCTTGACGTCAGAGACACCCCCTGCTGGGGAACTACAAATTGGGCTGTCAGGCCTAAGAGAGTTAAGTTGAAGAATTCTCCCATTTTAACATCAATACCACCTGGGGAGACCCGTACCCTTTCGCTCTGAAACTTGATCTGCTAACCCAGGACTTTGACAAGTACTTTAACCCTTTAACCTCTCCCTGTTATCTCTTTGCTGTGCTGCTGTTCTCTGTATATTTATATATATATTGGTTAACATCTTTTTTCTGTAAATATTTTTATTGCACCCCTTTTTGACTTTTCAGTAATAAATCTTTCCTTCTGAAATTGTTGAACTGTTTCTATAGCTCTTAATTGCAATTACGAATTCCTGCCTCTAAAAAGAACGCTACTGTGTTTGTTTAACCCTCTGTAAAACCAGCCTGCGGTGACCGTGTTATACAGACGATTACCTCAACCATTATAGTGTTATTGCGGATATCGCCGAGTTTCCTCTTTCTCTGTACAAAAAGGAGGTGGTGGCAGTGTGAAGGGTTGCTTTCGTAATTAACCTGACCCAGTAACAATTGCTCAGGCTGCCGGTACATTGATTCTGGTCCATTAGCTGGAAAATCGTTGTGCAGGGTGTGGCTTGGTGTGGCATTGTTACGCATGTGACATCGGGGCTTCAGATTGGCCAGTCCTTCGGTCACGAGTTTGGTGAGAAGGTCAGGGCTCTGACACCACGTCCGTCACATATTGGTGACAGTGATCGTGGGATCGTCGAATATTGGTGGCAGCGATCCTGCATCCGTCACACCTCTGTTTTAGCTGTCGGACTGGAAGTGAAGGGAAATCTCCCCAATAGGACACAGATGGAAAAAAAACTGACAGGCATCATAACCCTCCCTTATTCTACCTAAAATGAAAAAGAAAAGTTTTGCTTATAGCTCTATTTGAAAAATGCCACTTTTACAGGCATTTGGAATTTTTTCAGCACTTTTATGTAAGCCTGCGTGTCCATGCACACATAGGCGTTTACAGGTGTATTAGAAGAGGAGCGTTTACAGGCTGGAGAAAAATAAGACATCAAAGGCACATTCAGAAGAGGAGCTGAAGAACAGAAAAAAAACACTGAATGCACCTAAATGTATCTAAACACATCTAGACACTAGAAACAATTGAGCTTTAATGCATTCTAATGGCCAGTATAAATTAATATTCCAGCCAATGGCATCCATTAGCACTCAAATGTTTGACATGCCTAAAACACGTGTGCAATGTGTGGCTTTTACAGCTTTTCTCCTGCCAGGAGAGAAGGCGTTCAGAGGGGCTAAACAAACGTGTAAATGTGTACATTTGATTAGTTGATCTAATGTTGATAGTTTGAAAATAAAATACTTATTGGTAGTTGCGGCCAGAGACTATTTTAGTCATTTTAGTTGTTTTTAACTATTGATGAACTTGAGTAACTATTATGAATTTTTGTAATTATGTAAAAAAGTTTATTGGATAACTAATAGTTTCTTTGCATATACACTATTGCCAATAGTATTTGGCCAGCCCACATCATTCGATTCGGTGTTCCAATCACCTCCATGGCCACAGGTATATGAAATCAAGCACCTAGGCATGCAGACTGCTTTTACAAACATTTGTGAAAGAATGGGTTGCTCTCAGGAGCTCAGTGAATTCAAGAGTGGTACCGTGATAGGTTAAATAACATAAAAAATCCTCCTGCGCTCTTATGGTAAGTGGTGAATAAAAAACTAACTAAAAAGCAGCCAGCATCTGTCCCATACCAAACAAGGGCAATATGAATAGAATGTAAAGTTGATGCAGCGCTAAAAGACTAAAGCCTAAATACAGTATATAACCAGATAGTAAATATGAGTAATAACATGACCCAAAACCACCTAGGGATAAACAGAAAAACAATGGCCCTTAATAAACTAGTAACAGTGGTTAAGTGCAGGATAAAGTGTCCATAGTTCATACAGGAGTGTAAGTGAATCACAGCACACTTCAAAGAACGTGACCCCGGGCAGTCTTGCTGCAATGGCCTCTCACCTCCACTCTACGACCCTACAGGGCCATAAAGCGTAATGTAGATCACTACGGAATCCTCCAATTCAGGGGCTCTTTAGATAGATTGGCATCACATAAACAGGGACCGAATTCCTCCAGGCCAATAGGTGAATAAAATAGACTCTCCTCCGATGTCACAACCGCTCATATGCTCATAAATGAGGAGATAAACACAATCCTCATAGTGTATTACCGCTTTATTTGAGTATAGACAGCAAACAAAGAAAGAAGGTAATACACTTACATAACAAACGGCTTGTATGGAGATGCAATGCTGGGTGTACAGCAGGATCAAAAAGGTGCACCAAGATGGCGCCATCTTGGTGCACCTTTTTGATCCTGCTGTACACCCAGCATTGCATCTCCATACAAGCCGTTTGTTATGTAAGTGTATTACCTTCTTTCTTTGTTTGCTGTCTATACTCAAATAAAGCGGTAATACACTATGAGGATTGTGTTTATCTCCTCATTTATGAGCATATGAGCGGTTGTGCAATCGGAGGAGAGTCTATTTTATTCACCTATTGACCGTGATAGGTTGCCACCTCTGCAATAAGTCCATCCATGAAATTTCCTTGCTACTAAATATTCCACAGTCAACTGTTAGTGGTATGATAACAAAGTGAGAGCAATTGGGAACAACAGCAACTCAGCCACAAAGTGGTAGCTCACGTAAAATACAGAGCGGGGTCAGGGCATGCTGAAGCACACGGTGCGCAGAAGTCGCCAAATGTCTGCAGAGTCAATAGCTAAAGACCTCCAAACTTCGTGTGGCCTTCAGGTTAGCACAACAATGTGTAGAGAGCTTCATAGAATGGGTTTCCATGGCCGAACAGCTGCATCGAAGCCTTACATCACCAAGTGCAAAGCAAAGCGTCGGATGCATTGGTGTAAAGCACACCGCCACTGGACTCTAGAGCAGTGGAGACATGTTCTCTGGAGTTACAAATCACAGTTCTCTGTCTGGCAATCTGATGGACGTGTATGGGTTTGGCGGTTGCCAGGAGAATGGTGCTTGCTTGACTGCAATGTGTCAAGTGTAAAGTTAGGTGGAGGGGGGATTATGGTGTGGGGTTGTTTTTCAGGGGTTGGGCTTGGCCCCTTAGTTCCAGTGAAGGGAACTCGTAGCCTCCCTAGCGGTCTGATTATGTCAGTATTTCTGTGCTCAAAGTGGTACATTTTTTTGCATGGAAATGTGTAGTTTTTTTATTGTAGGCTTGTAATTTTTAGGAATAACTCACTGAAATCTGTCCGAACAAACGTCTAGTAAACATCCCAGGTATGTTAAAATTTGAAACACAAAATCATAAATTATACTTTATTAAATAATCATAAAAAATAATAAAATAAATTTAATTCAATAATATACTTAAACCAAAAACACTGAAATTTGAAATATAGCGCCAAGTTCACACATCACTGAGCAAAGTCGCAAAATCGTTTTCAGTGTCTGATGACGAATTTCCCCACAAATCATTATCACTCAATTCTGCAAGTAGTTCTAATTTACTATCGCTGTTCTCTAGCTGGTATAAAACCGATTTTGACCTAAAGGGACGCTTTTTGGACGCCATGGACATTTCTCAGTTTCCAGGCAGAAAGAACAGTAAATATGCAGGCAGGGCACAGGACAAAGCACTAGGGACAAAATGTATGTGAAATGCTTTGATACAGTAATGTTTTACTATGTGATTTTAGTGTATTTAGTGAATGTCACTTTTTGACATTTTTAAATTTCCCGACAGTTCCGTCTCTGTACGTCCTGACATTGCAGGGAACGGAACCCAGAAGACGGATGCCGGCATTGGTCGGAGGACATTGCTGGGGATGCTGCAGGGGGGACATCGTGGGAGCACAGGACAAGGTAAGAGCTGCAGGGAATCCTGGAGCAACGCCGCATGGTATTCCGGAGTGTAGCTCGGGGTTACCGCTTGTGGTGCTGAAACTTTACCCCGAGGTACACTCGGGAATACCTTCAGGGAGGTTAAGGCATCAGCATATAAGACATTTTGGACAATTTCATGCTCCCAGCTTTGTGGGAACAGTTTAGGGATGGCCCCTTCCTGTTCCAACATGACTGAGCACAAGTGCACAAAGCAAGGTCCATAAAGATAAGGATGAGAACACTTTTTTTGGATGAATTAGAATAAAGACTGCTCAGGCCTTCTTGTCCGACATCAGTGCCTGACTAGAGATGAGCGAATTATTCAAAAATTCGGTTTGGCTGATTCGCCGAATTCGCCGAATAAATTCGCTTCGAGCCGAATATATTTGCTGCGAATTTAACTTATAAAAAGGGTGTTTCTAGGCTTCAGAGAGCCTTTATATTAGTGCAGAACACTGTACCTTTAATTTAAATGCCCTTGGAGTCTGCTGGGGAAGAGAAATAATACTGTCAGTAAGTATGACATGCAGATGAGTGCCGTCGATCTTAGAATCACCGCACACTTCACTCATTTGGGCAGTCACGTATGCTGATGCAACGCTGTAGTCCCAACATTGCCCCCTGGCCACGCTTGACTTTCTGGCCACATAGTCGACATACGGCTACGTTTACTTCCTCGGGCGGCTTGACGAAAAATTGCCACACCGCCGAGTAGGAAACTTTGCCCCCGCTACTCCTCACTGGCTGACTGCTACTTCCTCCGTGCACACCGGCACCACTACTGGCCGTGGTGGTAGGCTGCAGTGGAGCTGGTGCTCTACTCCGTGGCCGTTTGGCTCCACTGACACTGCTGCGACCCTGCTGCCTCCTGGGCAACCCACCGACTGTTTTGCTCGCTGGCAAGCTGGCACCCTCTTCTCCTGATGATGCGGAAGCAATAGCCTGATGACGACGAGGCTGCCAAGTGCGATCAGCCTCATCATCATCAATTAGGGTCTCCGCGTCACTACTAGCCCCCTCGGCTGCGTGTGGGTCAGGAGACAGACCTGTCTCTAGACCGGCTACCGAGCCACTCTCCTCGCCAGTACTTCTTCGCCTGGCTGCTGAAGAGGCGGATGTCTCCCCCCGTTCCTGACCGCCCTCTGTTAGCTCTTCCTCACTGTACAGTGGGGCTGAGCCCACAGCATGCGATACTTCGCTTGGTGAGGGAACACCAAAGGACAGGGGCAGGTCGAGGACACGTGATTTCAGTGGGCTTGCTCCCGGGCCATGCCAACTAACGGTTGTGTCTGACGTACCCACCAACCGTTGGCTGTAGGTGTCAGAGGTGACCTGGGAAGAGGAAGACGACCGAGTCAACCAATCGATGACGGCAGGGTTGTCGGTGGAGACACGACCGCTGGATGACACCGGAGCACTGGCCTCTGGCTGCGACTAGTGCTGCCTCGACCCCTTCCTCTGCTGCCACGTCTGCTCGCTCCTGAAACATTGCCTCCTCTGCCACTCCTCTGCGTGTTGTCTGACATACTCTTTAATTCAATAAGCACCCCAAAAATAAAACCGGATTTAACTCTTTGAACGTACAATAGTGGTTGTGAAGCAGAAAGTCAGTTTATTTAGCACAATCGGTCAATTGCAGCTTGCCGTTGGCTGTAAACTGTACGTTTATGTCACTGGAATGCACTAATCACCCAAAAAATATTACCGCCACCCGGCGTGTATATGGATTTAACTCTTTGAATGTACAATAGTGGTTGTGAAGCAGAAAGTCAGTTTATTGTACACAATCGGTCAATTGCAGCTTGCCGTTGGCTGGAAACTGTACGTTTAGGTCACTGGAATGCACTAATCACCCAAAAAATATTACCGCCAGCCGGCATGTAAATGGATTTAACTCTTTGAACGTACAATAGTGGTTGTGAAGCAGAAAGTCAGTTTATTTAGCACAATCGGTCAATTGCAGCTTGCCGTTGGCTGGAAACTGTACGTTTATGTCACTGGAATGCACTAATCACCCAAAAAATATTACCGCCACCCGGCGTGTAAATGGATCTAACTCTTTGAACGTACAATAGTGGTTGTGAAGCAGAAAGTGAGTTTATTGTACACAATCGGTCAATTGCAGCTTGCCGTTGGCTGGAAACTGTACGTTTGTGTCACTGGAATGCACTAATCACCCAAAAACATATTACCGCCAGCCGGCGTGTAAATGGATTTAACTCTTTGAACGTACAATAGTGGTTGTGAAGCAGAAAGTCAGTTTATTTTGCACAATCGGCAAACTGCAGCACCAACTGTGCACGACAGCCACCAAAAAAAAAAAAGGGTGTATGTCACTTTAAATTTTCGATTCTTTGATAGCTGTGGCCCTAAGTAACGATTCTGTGTCCCTGAGTAACGATTCTGTGTCCCTGAGTAACGATTCTGTGTCCCTGAGTAATGATTCTGTGTCCCTGAGTAACGATTCTGTGTCCCTGAGTAACGATTCTGTGGCCCTAAAGTCTCTGTGGCCCTAACTCTGTCCCTTAATACACACAGGTCTGTCTCTCTTGAATGACCGGAGGCTAATGGAGAATTCTAAGATGGCCGCGATTTATAGCTCCACCATTACACAGTGCTGGCTGGCTGCTGATTGGCTAATGCGATCACATGTCATGAATGCATTATGGGTCAGCGCGCCTTGTCTGCGCGCCTTCCCAGAGATCCCCGCCCCATCTTCTCTGTCCATTTTCTCCGTCGCCACACATGTCGCCGCCATTTTTGGGAAAATTCGATTCGTGCATCCGAAGTTTGCTAATCTTCGGATTCGTCGCGAATAGAATTTTTCCAAATCTTCGGAATGAATTCCACTTCGTCATGTTCGATTCGCTCATCTCTATGCCTGACCTCACAAATGAGCTTCTGGAATGGTTAAACATAGACACTCTCCTAAACCTTGTGGATAGCCTTCCCAGAAGAGTTGAAGCTGATACAGCTGTGCAAAGGGTGGGCCAACTTGATATTGAACCCTATGGACTAAGACTGAGATGCCATTAATGGCTTCCAAATTGCCCTATAGCAGATATACTGCTACAGGGCAGCACGGGTGCGCAAAATCACGTATATATACACAAAATCTGTGGGGTGATCTGAAGAGGGCTGTGCACAGGAGATGCCCTCACAATCTGACAGATTTGGAGTGTTTTTGCAAGGAAGAGTGGGCAAATATTGCCAAGTCAAGAGGTGCCATGCTGATAGACTCATACCCCAAAAGACTGAGTGCTGTAATAAAATCAAAAGGTACTTCAACAAAGTATTGGTTTAAGGGTGTGCACACTTATGCAACCATATTATTTTAGCTTTTTTTACTTCAGTTTCTTGTTCAACTGAGTTGTATAGTTTATAGGTTACATTAAAGGTGGAAAACGTTCTGAAATGATTTATCTTTGTCTAATTTTTTTACATCACAGAAACCTGACATTTTAACAGGGGTGTGTAGACTTTTTTATATCCACTGTACATCAGAGAGGAAAGTGGGGCAAATGTTCTCACTCAGAGCCAAAGACATCAGTAAAGACCCAGTGGGAGACAGTATTTTAACCCATTATCTCCACAAAGTAAAGAAAGCCATTCAAGTGGAGTCCTCTAAACCAGGTATAAGGGTTAGAGGGTTTTTTGTAATTTTTATAGGTATAAGGGTTAGATTTATGGTTAGTTACATGTAATTAAAATGTTTTCTTACGCTTATGCATCTGAAATAAATCATGACAACATATTTCCATTATACCCAAGTAGTTAAACAGATTTGATTTGCTTAAATCTACAAATGTAGAATGTCATAACAATCATTGCTACAAGATGACTTGTATTTCCTGACTATGATCACAGGGGCTACTGTTTAAGTCTTATATTACCATTTGTAAGTAACTTCTTTGTAGTTTTACTAGTCATATGTAAGGAAATCACAAAGGTGCATCTGACTGGTTCTTATCTATACAAAACACCGGTAAAACAGTAGCAAGTAAAGGTTATCAATTATTGCAGTGTTATTAT